CAGAAGAGCTAAAGCTGCACAATGATTTAACCACCATATAGGAACAAACTGGAGGCCTGCAGTAATCTCTTTGTCAGTGTGAAAAAAGAGAATGACTTAGAGGAATGTTGCTCCTCTATCTTGGGACACCTCTGAGTGTGTGTGTGTTGCCAACCTAGTGTCAGAACGTGTTGAGCTGTGCCAGACCAGAGGGAAGGAAAAGCCAGTTCATGCAGGAAACTGATAACTTAATAGCACAGACTGGTGAAGTTCAACAAACAGCAGACCTGAACAGTGATTCATACTCCTCCATGTTGTTCGCGTTATTAAAACAGAAAGCAGTGCTGAGGTGTGCGTCTTCACACATGCTGCAAATTATAAAGTGGGACTCCAAACCTACACCGTAAATCGACCCGGAAATGTGACATCAATGTTTAATCGTGCTTACTGTTCGATCACTAGATTAAAAACTCGCTCAAGCGTGCGCAGACACAGCAGCTTTTCGCCTTTTCTTTCTTTTCTATATAAACAGTCAGTTATTTTGATATAGCGAAAATAAACAGCTCAGACTGATTGACTGTAGCCTCACCTCAGTACACTGCTTCTGTCCTTTCGCCCCGTCCATCAGCTGGAGCGCGCATAGGATGAGAGCGCAACGACCGACGAGCCAAGCTGAGGTCTGCATTGTAGATCATCGAAGGTGGCGGGGGGGACACAAACACACAAAAACAACCGAAATCCAGGAGAAAAACGGAACGTATCATGAACCCGAACCCGGCTTGACACCTGCTTGTATGGCCTCTTGCTTCCCAGCCTTTCCACCTGCAATTACGCTGCGCGCTCCAGGCATGCCTCATCAGATTCAAGCAGTGTAGGATTAAAAAAAAGGGCTTCCGGTTAAGGTTTTCAAAATAAAGATTGGCGCGTACGGGTGATGATTTGTGATGGTAGTGTTTAGTGAAATGCATCATTTTGTATGATGTCATTTTTGTGATATGGATGTGTTTAGGAACGCATAAATGTTCTCTGCAGAATTTAAGCCCCCAGTTTTCCTTTAATTTGAAGGCGAAGTAATGCTGCCTTCTGTTGCTGTCGTTGTATTTTCTTTCTTTTGCGCATCTTTGATTCATGCTTTTAACCTCCTGGTCCTCCTGAAGTGTTGCTTACATAAAAAAATTAAGAATTCTTTTTTAAATTAAAAAATCTGGCTATCATAAAATAATGTAAATATGCAAAATATAGCGAAATGTTTAGTAGTTCAGTGCATTCAAATTCACTGCACTATTATTATTAAAATAATAAATGAAATATTTTTTTCCAAACAATTTATGCATACATAACACATGTAGGTTTGAAAACAGTAAAAGAAAAGAAAGCATCCATGAACCCTATTGATGAA